TTGGTGCGGTGGCTGGGCAACCGGCTGCCATGCAACGTGTCGCGGGTTCGATTCTCGTACGGAACAACACTTTGTGTGATCCACAAATTGTTGTTTCGGGTTTGGGTGTGAGTGTACGTGAACTTGTTTGTTTGTAAACGCACACACGACACAGGAGATAAGCCTAATGTGGGGCAACGTTTAAATATAAAAACTGTAGAAATTAGTAAATTGAACCCTAGTTTATTGACTAAATAGTTTGTATATGATAGAACCTTAGTTCATAGATACTACTTTTATATTATTGTCTATGATTCCGGTTACGTGTCTTCGAGTGATTTTGTTTTATGTATTGGTCTGAATAAAACTATATTTCTAAAGTTTAAACTGTTTATCCTCATTAAAAATAACAGGTTATGGGCCCAGGCCACCTTAGTATTGCTTAAAAGTAAAATAATAAGGTAAACAGTGAAAAATTTTGAAAAAGCAAAACAAAAGAAAATAGTTCAGTATCAGCTCAAAACTCAACACGTTTTTTTTTCAATATACTTCATCAGCAAAAATGTCGTCAAACAATACGATGGCATTGATTGAAAAGCTGACTGGAAGAGAAAACTATCCTACGTGGAGATTTGCAGTGCAAACCTACCTCGAACATGAGGAATTATGGAATTGTGTCATCGCGAAACCCGACGAAGAAATTGATTCCAAACTTGACACAAAAGCAAAGTCGAAAATTATTTTATTAGTACATCCAATAAACTATGTACATATTCAAGAAGCCAAAAACGCTAAAGAAGTTTGGAATAATTTGGCCAAGGCTTTTGATGACAAAGGTTTGACACGCCGTGTTGGTCTGTTGAGAGACTTAATCAATACAACGCTCGAAAATTGTCTGAACATTGAAGAATATGTTAACAAGATCATGACCACTGCTCATAAGCTACGAAACATTGGTTTTGAGGTCAATGACGAGTGGCTCGGCACACTATTACTTGCCGGTTTACCAGAAATGTATCAACCTATGATCATGGCACTTGAAAGCTCTGGTGTGACAATTACAGTTGATTCCGTTAAGACTAAGCTTCTGCAAGATGTGAGAAACTCTGAGTCTAGTGCATTGTATGTTAAAAGCAAGGGGAATCGAATTGTCAAACAAGCTCAAGATAAAAATAAAACTGGTAAAGGTCCAAGGTGCTATGTGTGCAATAAGTATGGGCACATCAGTAAAAATTGCCGTAATAAGAAAAAGGAACAGAAGTCTAATGAGAACACTGATTCTGGTTATGTCGCCGTGTTTTCTGCAACAATAAACAACGACAATAATTGGTATATTGATTCTGGAGCGTCAATGCATATGACAATGCACCGTGATTTACTCTATGATGAAATTCTACCTCCAGTTTCCACAATAAGAGTAGCTAATGACAAAAAGCTAGCTGTGAAGGCCTGTGGATCAGATCAGAAGTATTTCAAAAATTTCAAGAATTCAAAGTACTGGTTGAAAATCAACTTGATTTGACTATAAAATCTCTCCGCACTGATAATGGGACTGAGTATTTAAGCAATGATTTTCAAGCTTTTCTCAAGAAATTTGGAATTGTACACCAAACCTCTACTCCTTACACGCCACAACAAAACGGGCTAGCAGAAAGGATGAACCGCACATTGTTAGAAAGAGCTAGATGTATGCTTTTAAACGCTAAACTTCAAAAGCAATATTGGGCAGAGGCTGTGTCAACTGCAGCTTACATCACAAATAGATGTCCAACAAGAGCTTTAGCCTTTTTAACACCGGAAGAGATGTGGAGTGGTAAAAAGCCCGATATCACAAATATGAGAATCTTTGGTTGTGATGCGATGGTACATATTCCTAGAGAAAAATCTAAGAAGTGGGACTCTAAGGCAAACAAAATGATATTTATTGGGTATATGGAAAATACCAAAGGATACAGACTTATAGATCCCAAAACAAGAAAAGTCACTATAAGCAGAGATGTGATTTTTCTAGAAAGCTCAGTGAAAAGAAATTATGCTATGTTACCATTATCAGAGTCAGCTTCAAATACCTGTGAAGATATTTCTGATAGTGACACAACTTTGCAGAATTTATCTGAAAGTGTTGAAGGTACTAAAGATGAATCTAGTGATGATTTCTACTCAGATGAAGGATCTTTATATGAACCAGAGATAAATATAGATCAAACAGAATTAACGTCAAATGTAACTACAAGATCTAAAGCAAGACTGTGTAAAATGCAAGGAAACACATATATGTGTACAGAAAAAGTTACAAGACAAGAAAATTTACCAAAAACGTATGATGAAGCACTATCTAATGAAAATGTGAATGCTGAAAAATGGAAGCAATCTATTAAGGAAGAGTTACAGGCACATGCAAAGAATGAAACTTGGCAATTAATTAAGAAACCTGAAGGTGTGCGGGTAATTGGCTGCAAATGGGTCTTCAGAATAAAAGATGAGCCATCTGGTCCGCTCTATAAGTCAAGATTATGCGCCAAAGGATGTAGTCAAAAGCAAGGCATTGATTATAAAGAAATATATGCTCCAACAGTGAGGTATGATACAGTACGAATTTTACTTTCAGAGGCAGCACAACATAATTTGAATATTTTTCAGTTTGATGTCAAAACCGCATTCTTATATGGTGATGTCAAAGAAGACATTTATATGACACCACCTGTAGGTTTGGATACTGATTCTAATATGGTATGTAAACTCAAACGTTCTCTTTATGGTCTTAAACAAGCACCACGGTGTTGGAACCAAAAGTTTGACACCTCACTGAAGAAATTTGGTTTCAATAATAGTCATGCAGATAGGTGTTTGTACATTGGAAATGTAAACAACAGTAAAGTTTATTTGTTATTATATGTTGACGATGGGCTAGTATTGTCAAAGTCAAAAGATGCATTAAATTCAGTAATGCATGAATTAAAGCATAACTTTGAAATAAAGCAGTGTGATCCAAAGAATTTCGTTGGATTACAAATTGAAAAATCTGAAGGTTTTATCTTTATTCACCAGTCAAAATATATTGAAAGACTATTGTATAACTTTAACATGCAAGATGCTAACTGCAATAATATTCCAGTAGATCCACATACTACACTGGAGAAGAGTACTGAGTCTGTGGATAAGAATATTCCGTACCGAGAGGCAGTTGGATCACTGATGCATTTGGCTGTGGTAAGCAGACCGGACATCATGTATGTAGTTAGTCTGGTGAGTCGATATCTCAATTGTTTTGATCACACTCATTGGAATGTTGTCAAGAAGATAATGAAATATTTAAAGGAAACCAAAGACTATGGTCTGTGTTATTCATCATCTCAGCAAAATAAAATTGAAGCTTTCAGTGATGCAGATTATGCTAAAGACACTACCACTAGAAAGTCATTAACTGGGTATGTGTTCATTAAAAATGGAGCTGCCATAACATGGGCAACACAACTTCAGCACAGTGTTGCTTTATCCACAACAGAAGCGGAATTTATGGCTGCTTGTTCTGCGACTAAAGAAGCTTTGTGGTTAAAAAGAATATTATTAGATATTGGTGAATTTAACCAGGATTCTATATATTTAAATATAGACAATCAAAGTGCAATCTGTTTAATTAAAAATGTAGACAATCACAAGCGTTGTAAGCACATTGATGTGAAGTACAATTTCATTAAAGAAAAGTATAATGAAAAACAAATAGATTTAAAATATGTTTGTACTAAGGAACAATATGCTGACATCTTTACTAAAGCTCTGCCTAGAGATAAATATCAATATCTTAGGAATAAAATTGGTGTTAAGAAATTACAATTGTTTGTTAGTACTATGTAAAAACTTAACATTATGATTAGAATTTGTTAAGTTGGTTGTATTTTGAATCTCAAGTGAAAGGGTTCAAATTTGGTGAGAGTGTAGAAATTAGTAAATTGAACCCTAGTTTATTGACTAAATAGTTTGTATATGATAGAACCTTAGTTCATAGATACTACTTTTATATTATTGTCTATGATTCCGGTTACGTGTCTTCGAGTGATTTTGTTTTATGTATTGGTCTGAATAAAACTATATTTCTAAAGTTTAAACTGTTTATCCTCATTAAAAATAACAAAAACAAACAATTTGTGGATCACGCACAGAATTATTCGGTGTAGGAATCGAAGTTGCAATACGTTGCACAACAGTCGAATGTCCAGCCACTACGACAACTTAGCAGTCATTGTCATTACAATAATAAAATACATGCAAACACTTGAATGATATCTTAATAATTGAAATTGAAGGGAAAATATAACAAAAAGCGTGAAGTGAAGCACCCACTCGCCAGTGTAAACGCAGCACAATACAGAAGGCAGCGAAATAATGAAATTAGCGGAACAGTACTCGCCTTAAGAACAGTGATTTACGTAATCAAAGAGCGTCTAACTGGATTACCGAGGAGAAGGCTCCTTTTATTTATTAACTAAACTTTACAACGAACAGACGAACACTCTCGTCTTTTGATTCCACCATTGTGAGCCCCACAATTGATGTATTGTGGACCACTCCCGACTTGTTCCCGATATATTTGACTTTTATTTCCTCATTATAAATGTTAAGAAAGTGTATTTGAGAAGTTTTCCTTGTAGCTACTGAAGTTTTGTTAATTGTTTCTGGATTAGATGAATTGTAAATTATTAAAACATTTGTTGCTATTTATAGAATATCAAGCGTTTATTTTAACTTAGTAAAATGTTGTTTAAACTTTAAGTTATCGTAATCTTTCTGATATATTTATATCTGAAGTCAGTTAATAGTTTTATATCTGTTGTATACTTTACAGAATAAACGTCGTGCAGGTTTTGGTACTTAACTAAGGTTGCGGTACAATGAATCATTCTCGTATAATTCACGCACTATGCCAATCCCATCATTATACAATTTCACAGCAATAAATAAATCGCACATTAATTAAGGAACAATGCATGACCCCATCTCTGGCACTCCCACAAAAATGGAATATGCCAAGTGAAGTCAGAAAGGTCCAATTATCTGAGCAAAGGCGCTCGAGTGCGCGTCAAACGCACTGGCATTGCTGGCGGCTCAAAGTGCGCCAAACGGAAATTGCCCGCGCCATCTTGTCCGCCAACCGGAAACCCGCCAAATTATCGGCTATGTACTCTCGGACCCTTCACTTATGGATATTACGATATTTTTTTATATTTAAAGCAATATTATTGTTCTTCTTGTCAATTGTTTGTTTTAAGTTCTCAAGTGTGTCTGCGAGGCGGAGTATTTGCACGGTTTTGTTATTTTTTTCCATTTCACTAGTGTTTATGTAGAAAAATCATTTTCATCGACGCTATGTCATCAATACTCTGTGGCTAGCCACAGAGTATAATACCAGTATGATTGCAAAAAATAAAAAGAGATAATGAAAATTAAATAATAATACCGTAATAATTTTGCCATTCATCATTTTCAATTAATTGAATAGCTGTTCTCAGCACTAATAAGTGAATTATTATAAATCTTGAATCAGTTGCGATAATTTTACTGTTAATTTAAAGCCAGGCTTTATGGATTTTAATTTTTGAACTTTTACAATGTAAATTCTCTCAAATCCAAGCTGAATGAAAGCTGAATCTTAAGATAAATAATACAAAGGCAAGCATTAAAATTTTGAACAAATACCCACAACAGGGTCCGCGTTATTAGAAGCACATAAATAGTGGCAGGGATGTCACGACACATTGGTGCGCGGCGGGGCGCGACGGGCCAGCGCTATCGGACGCGACAGCCCTGCGCGCTTCACTGCTGAACGTAATTGTTTTAGGGTACCGACGCTGCTTTTAATATTACCGACATGGAGTCACCATTGATTCTTTTCTTAACAAAAGTAATTTGTTTATCTTTATCTCGAAATAAGTGTGAGATAAAAAAAATACAGAAGATTCTAAGTCTCTATTTCAATGAAGAATTGAGGCCCGATGTTTTGTTTTTTGGCGCATTTTCAAATCTACTTTACTTAACACGTTAAACGCCATGGGGGTCACCGGTGACCGACATTAGCGGAGGATTTACCTTCAACAGTTTTCTATTGGCAGTCAAAGCCTTAATATATTTATTATCCATAGCCAACATTTGAACATTCGTAGTTTTTGCGAAAATATTAAAATCCTATAGAACTTTGGGACTTTAAATACCATAGAAAAATTATAATAAACATTGTGTCACTGACAAGTAACTAGTGACATTAAACTGAGTTTGTTTATTAACTCCTTCAATATACAAGTCACAAGAGTTAGTTGACACAAGATTTATTTAACGGCCGTCAGACCATTAAGTTTAACTTTTAGCCACAAGTAGTTGTATTTAACGACTTGTAAAAGATATATAGCTCTTCATTACGCACATATATATTTACTTGTTTAACCTAAATGACATTTAAACACATCTTCTAGATTATAATACTGCATATAAGGAGTGCTGGTAGATGTTACGCAGTAGCCGATGCTACGCCGTAGCCAGTGCTACGCCGTAGCAAATCATTTGTGTGATCATTATTCTTTTGTTTTAATTTTTTATGTATTGTCTCTTTCTTGATATTGAAAGAAAGAAAGAAAGAAAAAACTTTATTTCATATTGGATATCGTTATATGTTCTTATTAGATCGTTTTATGAATCTAACGTCACGCCCAGTGCTCTCTTTGGGGTTGGTATTGGTGGACATTATATAGGTACAATGAACATTTTTCTGATTGTACTAGTTATGTTAGAAGTGGTCGTCATGGCAAAGAACTATGAGACCTATGAATCTCACAAGTTAATATTAGATTAGTTAATGAGTTTTTTATTGGAATTACTAAAATTTTATTTCGTTTTTGTAACCGAAACGATATTGACAAATACTATATATTACCATTTTACTTTACAACAACTATACTTATAATAAAAAACACTTCCTTGAACAGTTTCCCCTCTTCCTCAATATTCCTTCACAAAAACTATTTGAGCGTGAAACAATCGCTTTACAAATCTCATTGGACTATTTCAAAGTCGCGATATCCGCGTATCCGACCCGTATCCGCTTAGTATCCGACCTTATAGCTCGCAAACCGTGAGTTATATCCGCGGGTATCCGAGATAATCCCTGTTTATGACCTAAGGATCGTCCACGTATAAATGTTTATATCGGCGCGGATCACAAACGAATATATCTTTGTAATACATTGACATGTTTTTATGCATTAAATTTCAATTTCAGTGTATTTCTTTTTCTCGTGTTTTTGGTGTCGAGAAAGTATAATAGTTGCTCTTTTTGGTAATTTTATAGATTTTGTTTTTGGTTATGTGTTGCTTTGTTTTGAAAATACTTAATAAGTTTGCTTATCAGTCTTTCATAAATTCATTGCATTTCACAAAATGATTATGGACTTTTATACCTAAAATAAGTACGATTGACGATATCGTATTAATAAATAATTTAGATTATTTCATACAAAAAGTCTTAGTGACGAATTTATGAAAATATGATATAAAGGGATACCTTTTATTTCCACTACTTTTATTATTTGTCCTACTAGCTTCTGCCAGCGGCTTCACTCGCGTTCCCGCGAGATAAAATGTGGCCTATGTGTTATTCTAGACATAACTTACTTCGGTTCCAAATTTCATCTTAATCTTTTCAGCCGTTTAAAGAGAAAGAGTAACAAACACATATACACACATACATACACACACACATACAACCTCACAAACTTTCGCATTTGTAATATTAGTAGGAAGTAGGATTGAAATAAATCATAAATACAGCTTACGTTGATCCATTAGCTAAGGTTCATTTTCAATGTAGATACACGTGGTGACTTCGCCTTCAGCCTCATGGCAACGCATGCCCAGAAAGCAGTAGATAACTCCTTGTACTTCCTTCCTACACAATCACATTTTCTTTGGCAATTTTCAGAAGAAAAATACTATGATAGGGAAAAGTAAAATAATAGGATAGTATATTGGAGGTTCCGCGATAGCGATGCGTTAAGGAAATAAAATAAGCGTGTGCCTCGCTGCCGCCGCCGCGTGGGTTTCAATGTATGATTGTATGTCAGAGAGGCTCTGATAGGAATATACAGGGAATAGGTTCGAACCAAAATGTGATGTGAGAAGGAAACTATTTTTTAATAAGTAGAAAACAGTTTCCTCAGACAGAGTAAATATTGTCATAGTAAACAGATTTTTACATATGATGGGGACAATCACCGAGTGGCTGTGATTACTGGTGCCGTTTGTTTATTTTAACAATTAAAGAAGAAATTGAGTGTTTGACTTAACTTTTAAAACAAACATTTTGTAAAACATTGTTCATAATGATTACTAGCTACTCTTCCGCGCTGTTTCACTCGCCCTGCTCGGCGCCTATTAATCGTAGCGTGATATTTAGCCTATAGCCTTCCTCAATAAATAGGCTATCTAACACAGAAAGAATTTTTCAAATCGGAGCAGTAGTTTCGGAGATAAGCGCGTTCAAACAAAAAAACAAACTCTTCAACTTTATAATATTAGTATAGATTCCTACCATACTAAGATACTTAAACTTGGACTTAATCCTAAACCAACAACATAAGATGTCAACTTGATCTATAATATTTTAAATATTCGTACATCGTTCTCGGAGTTTGTTCTGAATACCGTCATACAACAAAAATGCCTTCCCCTGAAAAACCGCTCGCGCCTGCCTGAAATTCTTTCTCCTGTATGTTTCAGGAACGTGGGCGAGTCGCATCGGTTGCTATGGCAACGACACGTCTAGTCACGCCCCTCGTTACGTGATAGTGATGGGTTGACGTCGATATTTGATATATCGATATCGCAATGCAGCACTATCGGCAGATGGTAATTGTTCAGTATAGGGCTAATAGAAAATGGTAATATTTCTGCTTATATTAAGATATATAGATAACTATTTCCTTTAGTTATTTGTATAACATCGTGAGGAAACCTGGACTTATAATTTCTAATTATAAGTTTGAAATCGCCAACCCGCATTGAGCAAGCGTGGTGATTAATGCTCAAACCTTCTCCGTGTGAGAAGAGGCTTTGCTCAGCAGTGGGCATTTGTAGGCTGTTGATGAAGATGATGATTTGTATGACTCATTATCTTTACTTATGAACAGTGAAAATTACATGTGGGTTTCTATCGTAAAAAAAATGTTGTTGTGTTATTCTGGTTTAAGATATTATTAACATTATCATTAAAACGCACTTATTGAGCACGCGCTATCGTAACTACGGGTAGTTAGAAATAGTTACTACCTCCAATTACGATAGCATCTGTCACTAACAAAATTACTGAACTAGTTTCACATGAAATATATAATTAAGATGATAAGTTTTATTGCTTAAGACTACACAAAGCGAAACAGTAATACACAATAATATAATCATCCATAACACTTCAGCTATCCTGTCACTCATATCATCATTAGCGAATAAATCCAAGTCACCCCCCCACCCCCATCCCTTACCTTCCTATCAAATATTATCGAGCAATCCATTACACGATTACATATAAAAAGGGGTTTATTACAAAGCACTTTATGGGCCATAACGTGCGAAGGAATGCGCCGTGTCGTACCGGATCACGGACCGGACCGGCAGGAATGCCGGATGAGGACATCGCAAGAATATCAACCGGTGTCGGGTTGGAGTCAAAGGGTGAAACGTGTGATACGTACTTTTATATATAGTTGAGAACGCAATTTAATTGTATTTTGTTGTATATATGTTTTGTTTAGAAAGTATTGCTGTACAAACGGTGTTATTAAAGTGAGTTATATAAATATAATGAATGTTTGTAATAATAAAAATAAGCTTTTCTTATATATGAACAAAATAGCAGAATCACCGCAGCATACAAATTATAATCATGTTCTCCTAAAGTGGTGAGTCAAGGCGAGGAATAAATATTTTTTTTAACATAATCATTATTTTGGTTTTACCAATTATTACTAGATTGAAGATTCGGTTACCACACTTCAGTTTATAGCTACTACCGTTAGATAAAAGCGTGAATGTATGTTCTTATTATCGTGTATCATACAAGTAGTATCGCATCACTAGTAGACTACGTAGCTTCACTAAAATGTCATTTGCAGCTAACGAGGGGTTAACAGTGAAACCTATGAATATCTATGAGCTCAAATTGAATGCGGTATTACCGCACATCCTGATATGTAAATATGTAATAGTTTTATTGTAATAATAATTGCTTTACGAACATTAGTATGAGTAAATGTTCTATTTGTTGTAAATAAAGGAGTTGTGAATCGTATTTAGGCATTGTATTCACTCGACACTAATCTCAATATATTTCTTTATGGAATAGTGAGCTAAGGATCAGACGGATCACCTGATGGTAAGCAATCAGTGCTGTCCATGGACACCCGTAAAACTAGAGAAGTCACAAGTGAGTTGTTGGCCCATTAAATTGTATCTATTCTTTACCATTTCTTCGTTTTCAGTAAGCAATACCCTAGAAGTTAAAATAAACCTGAAAATCATTATTTAACCTCACTACCCACTCCCAAACAGCTCCTATCCCATAAAACGAAGCCCGTAACGTCTCCATTAACACGAACCACTTATACAACCAACAGACACCTCCAATTTTTCTCCAATTTATAAAATATTCCATCCAATATCGGTATCGATAATCCGGTCACGTCCCTACGCCGTCACTCGCATTCCTCGCATAGTGAAGTGGCGGCGCCCGATATTTGCCCCTCGCATATTAAGATAGCATTCTTCGCAGTGCTGGGAGACAATACTGGCTATATGAGATATCGATCCTTGATGTGCTTTTCAGTTAAACGGCAGGTTAATGGGTTTGCTTTCAGTGTGTACTATGTACCTACTGACTTGGTTGTGGATTCTAATGCAAATGGGCATTCGACAACCCCTCTTAGATTTTAAAGAAGTTAAGATAGGTAATATAGCCTATGTATTTAAATAAATAAATGTTTATTTACTTAAAATGTACAGTTAATATACATACATCGGTGTAGTAAAAAGATAATGTTACAATTTCTGTACAGTGCAGTGGTGTAATATTACATAGGTAGGTCTCCGACTCCCAAACTAAGTCAAGCTCGTATTTTGAGATGTGTGCCTCATTCATGTTGGCTCTGAATACAAACATTTTATTGGTATTTTTAATAATCATCATTGCTTCATTGGCCGAGTGGTCGCAAGTGCGGCTGCGGCAAGGGGTCCGGATCGGGCAAAGTATTACTGGGATTTTCAAAACAATCACAATAGTAGCACGGAGTCTGGAATTGTGCCCGGTGTATGGCAATGGCAACCCCCTATTACATAGGACTCTTAACATAAATAGTGAAAACTGGATGTTACATTGTACAGTGGCATAACGTACACCTCTGTTTACCCCTTCGGGGATAAAAGGCGTGATGTTGTGTTATGTTTTAATATTTAGTACTAGGTTTTCAGTATACATAATTTGATTACAGGCAGTTCTCTGAATGTAAGAATATTCAATGTAGTGTATATTGAAGGTGGGCAAGTATAAACAAAGGTTTTTATATTTATTATATCACTAGCTAGCCCGGCAAACTTATTATCGCCTCTAATTTTTTCTCATATTTTAAACCTCCCCTGGACTTCTAATAATTTAAGCCTAAAGTTAGTCACATCGGTTCTACCATTTCCGAATTTTAGTGAGACTAACGAACAGCAATTCATTTTTTATATATAGTAGATATAATTGGTAATTTTTGTTTGTTTTTGTTCATACTATGTTTCACACAGTATCTTAATTTTTACTGTTTTTCCTATCGAAGGACTGCAGGGAGAGATTTCTACGGCAATATGTAGTACCTATCGTATCGTGGGTTAAGAACTAGAGAAGCGTAAGAGCAAAATGATAACTTTTCAGGAGAGCCAAAAGTACCTCCTACCCAGTCATAAAACATACACTAAATTTTTAATTTAACATGTATATGCATCCTTACAGGTCTTGTCATAAGGTTTATTTTTCTTTATTTTGTATTGAATGATAGAATTTGTATGAATACAAATAAAACTGCGATTTTAAAAGTCTTATTGCTTTGACTTATGGTCCATTTCGATTTGTTTTAACAAACCAGGGTTAATATGACAATAATTTTTGGGATTAAAAATTACCTATACTAAAAATTATATAAATCGATTCAGTTAACGATTCTGAACAAACTATTTTCAGGATGTGCGTTATTTAAGTTACATGTTGTATATTTAAGTTACATGTTGTATATGTATTCTCCTGTGTACTGTCTGTGTATTGTGCATGAATAAATATTTTGAATAGAATATACTTAGCACTTAGCAGACACTTGTAGTTGGATCTCTTGATCACGATTTACCTGGAAGGAAAGAAAAAAATAATATTAGCGACAAATATATAACACAGAACAATATACAAATCAAATCAAATCAAATCAAATCATTTATTTGCATAAAATGTAGGTGTTTACAAATAGGTTGTTACAGATATAATATAGTAGCCGTCTACATTTTGCCTGTTTATTGGCATGCAAAATATGGTGAAAAAGCTGTCAGATTTAATATAATAGCAAGCAATAATTAAGGTTTACAAATTCAATACAAACAATAATAACAATGTCAAGAAATACATAATGTTAAAATAATGTCAAGAAATACGTAATGTTAAAATTTATCAATTAGAAAGTCTGTTGTTGAATAATAACATTTGTCAATGAGAATTTTCCGTACAGTCGTTTTAAATTGATTTAAATTGAGGGATTTTACATTGTCTGGTAGCTTATTATATAACAGTTGTGCCATGCAAAGAAAACTTTTATTCATGAGGGCTGTTTTGCCATAACGAACCTCGAGTTTTAATCTGTTTTTATCCCGTAATTTCCTATAGTCACTTTTGAAAGCAACTGTGTATAAATCTTTGTTGGTTCTAACGTAAGTTAATGTTTCATATATATAGAGTGATGGAAGTGTCATTAGTTTGAGGCTCTTAAAATACGGTTTACAGCTTGTTGTGCAATCTATACTACATATTGCTCGAATACACTTTTTCTGTGCTCTAAACACAGTATCTTTATTAAACAGAGTTACCCCAGTATATTATTGCGTATCTCAATTTTGAAACGTATACATCTACTATATAAAAATAAGTCGGGTTTTTTTTATATTTGATGGGGCGACGTTTGACCACTATCGCACCTGATGGTAAGCGATGATGCGGTCTACGATGGAGCACGTCGTCCCATAAGCAACCTATTCACTCGGGCCTTGAAGACACCCAGGTTATACCCATCAGGAAATACAGACTCTGGCAAAGAATTCCATTCTTTAGCAGTACGCACAAGGAAGCTTGAAGCGAAGCGCATCGTGCGTGTGGGCGGAACATCTACCATGAATCTGTGACGCTTCGCCGATTGTCTTGTGGTACGATGATGGAAAGGACTAGGTTTTCCTTCCTGACGCTATTACTCCAGAACGCATGGACCGATTTCCACGGTTTTGCATTCGTTGGAAAGTTCTCGGGCTCCGTGAGGTTTAAAGCAAAAAATGTTACATAAAACGAAGCCATCTGGTGGCGAAACGGAGTTCGCTGGGTTTGTTAGTAGCAGTATAAAATTGTGTTGGTGCTACTTTGTATATATGTGTAACTATGATTAAGAAGTCAGCTGAGTATCTTAATTACGATTGAATAAAACGTTTCTTATAAAAGATTACTCGAGATTATTTAAGTTTGTAGCTTTTATATTAAGTCGTTCA